AAAAAAAAAAAAAAAAAAAAAAAAAAAAAAAAAAAAAAATCCTAATTATTTTGATGTGAATAGCTTAGTTTAGGACCTATTTCAATTAATTTTTTATTTTTTGTTTTTAGTCTTTGAAAAACAGGTTTATCTGACTCATAATTTTATGTCATTAATAGTTAGTTTATTCAAAAAGAAAATTATATATGGTTACTAATTAAAGGCTTTTAATAAATGTTCAAATAATTTTGATGTGGTGCGTCTAAATATTTAGAAATACTTTTAAATTATAAAAATAAACTTACAACTTTATTTTATTTGTTTCAAAACTGGGTAGGANTTTGTTTTAAACTTTTGGAATTTTTTTTTTTTTTTTTTTTTTTTTTTTTTTTTTTTTTTTTTTGTAAATCTTTTGTTGTTATTTTTTTGGTTTGAATCTTATATCTCAAATTGTCGTTCTTTCGTTCGTAGTTCTATTTCTACAGATAAAAATTTTCAAAATTTACTCGAAGAGAGTGGTTGATTTAAATTGATTAGAGATTAGGTGAGACCATTAGTGAAGTCGTATCCTTCCATAATTTCTTTAAATGGTTAATTAGGCAATAAAAAGAAAGTTAATTACTTCAATTATGTGCATAACTATTTTCCCTCCATTTTTGTATATAAAACAAACTTCACATTCTCATTCATAATTCAATTTTTATAATATATCTCTCGACTTTCGATGGACTTTTTAGAGAATAAGACCATTTTTGTTATTGGTGCCAAAGGATTTCTGGGAAAGAGTATGTTATCTTTCGAAAATTTTAATTTCCTTTTTGATATGTTATATGCTAAATATATCATTTATATTATATACTTTGAGAGTGCAGTTATGGTGGAGAAAATATTAAGAGCTCATCACAACGTGAAGAAACTTTATCTACTTTTACGAAACGTGGATCAAATCACCGCTTCAAAACATTTTTATGATGAGGTATATGATTGTGTTTATACCCATATTTCAACTACCAAAACACTAACTTGCTAGTTTATGTAAATATCGAACATAAAGGTTTGAATCCTTCATCCGTAATCATTAATTCGGTAAAAAAAAATACAATTGATTATTTGATTTATAGGTTGTAGAGAAAGAATTGTTTAGAGTGTTAAAGGAAAAATGGGGTGGAGATCTAAAAACCCTCATCTCAGAGAAGATTTATTTGGTGCCGGGGGATATTTCATCCCCAAATATGGGATTAAAAGACTCGAATTTATTGGAAGAGATGAAGAATGAAGTGGAAATAATTGTTAATTTTGCGGCAACAACCAATTTTGATGAAAGGTACCGACTCTCTTGAACTGCATTAAACTGTAAAATGCTTAAACGAGAAAGTATTTCAAACTGATATGAGTTTGTTTACTTTCTTGCAGATATGATGTAGCGTTTAGCACCAATACATTGGGAGCTAGACACGTTTTAAACTTTGCTGAGCAATGTTCTAATTTGAAAATTCTTGTCCATGTATCCACCGGTTAGAATCAAATCAATGTTTAAAATAATTTAGTTAACTACCCACAAATTGATCGAAAAACCTTTGTTTTGTTAGCTTATGTTTCAAATCAAAGGGAAGGAGTCATCTTGGAAACTCCATGCAAATTGGTCGAGTCGGTTGATGGCACTTCAAAATTAGACTTTGAAACGGAACGGAAAATAATTGAAGATAGTTTAAGAGAATTGAGAAATAATAAAGATATAGATGAAATTACGAGGAGCTTGACCATGAAAGACTTGGGCACAAAAAGGTACGAAAGATCGATGGATATCATCCTCTTTATCAATGTAACCATTTTATTCTTTTATTGTTATTTAGGGCAAAAATGTATGGATATCCAAACACGTACACATTTACAAAAGCAATGGGCGAGATGTTGATTAACGACAAAAGTGACAATCTTCGTTTGATCATCGTGCGGCCAACCATAGTTACAAGCACTTATAAAGAACCTTTTCCGGGTTGGATCGAAGGTTTGAGGTACACAAATAATATATATAGGCAACTTGGGTCGACAGGAGCCAAAATTTTGATATCCATTTCTTCTTAAACCCTCTTTTGTCTCGAGTTTGGGTGTCCATAATTTGGATCAGATCAAGTTGAGACATTTCTAAACTCAACCTAATTGTTTGGATTGTAAATTTTTTTGAAAACCCCGATCTTTAAGTAAAGTATGCATAGTGTTTTACCATAACAATGGTTTCGTTGACCTTGTTTCAATGATGAAAAAGGTTGTATTTTATAGGACCATTGATGGCTTAATTGATGGGTATGGCAAAGGAAAGCTTGCGTTCTTTCCATCTAACGCTAGCTCAATCCTAGACGTGGTGAGATGAACATAATTTCTTTCAAATTTAGGTATCTCTTTCTTTCAAATTCAACAAGTTTGATGTTTCGAAGAAATGCAGATTCCAGCTGATATGGTAGTAAATGGTATCATCATGGCAATATTGGCACATAAACTCCAACCGTTTGGACATACATTAATATATCACATAGGTTCTTCGATGAGAAATGCTATGAGCAACATTGATTTGTGCAGTTATATTCTCCAATACTTTACCGAAAAACCATGGATCGATAAAGATGGAAAGACCATCAAAATTAAGAAACTCACCTTATTCAACGACATGGCTAGCTTCCATCGACACATGACCATTCGCTACTTGATTTTTCTCAAGGTATGTTCCAAAATCTATAACTAATGCTGACATAAAACTCGTATATATTTACGTTTTCTAATCAATATTGTTATTACTACAAAGGGTTTTGAGTTTGTGAATAGAGCATTTTGTTACGCGTTCCAAGACAAGTGCAATGATCTTCGGGGAAAGTTCGACTGGGTGATGCGACAAGTTGAGCTTTATGACTCGTTTCTATTCTTCAAAGCCAGGTAATTTCCAAACTAATTTTATACGAAACTTTGAGTTTAGTTTATATACCTCATTCTAAAATAATCAGATTTGTATGACATTTGTATATACCGTACACATGAATACATGTTAAAGGTTGAGAAGTCGGAATTTATGTAACATAAATTTACGAGACTTATACGATTAATATATTGATATTCTTAGCTATGCAATCTAATATATGTATCTATAATTTTATTTTTTTGCTTGTACAGATTTGACGACACCAACTTAGAAAAACTGAGAATTGCTGCCCGAGACAACAACATAAATCCAAATACATCGCTTTTGGATCCTGAGGATATAAACTGGGAGGATTACTTCCTGAATATCCACATTCCGGGACTTATTAAACATGTAATGAAATGATTATAATTTGAACAAACCTTGTTTTTTCTCCTGGTACGAAGTCTGCTGATTTCACTCGACTTGTTTATCTGTAGCTAGATATCAGCTCAATCGAGTCTATCAACACCAAAACAGATAGCTAATTCTCTTTGCTGTCTTCTCTTGGACATTTGTGATTCAATGCAATATCTTAATTAATCGCTTATAATATGATATGGGACGTCGTCGTTGTTTATTAAGTGTAGCTTTTAAAGTGTTTTGTAAAAGTTTTGACAAACACATTATTTGTCTAAAGTTGAGTTTTCAGCTGGTCCTTTTATATGTTTTTTTTTAGTTACTTTTCAATATAATTTCTATTAAAAAATAAAACATACTAACAATATTTCAACACATAAATTACCCTTCTCCTAATTTATTTGTAATTTTTTATTTGTAAATTTATTTGAATATACCTAATTAATTAATAAAATAATCGATCATGATTTACCAAAATTAATATAAGTAATTATTTAAGTAGAATAAATAAGAATTAATTAATTTATATATAAAAATTTATTACTTATTTACAAGAATTATTAATTAATTAGCTAATAGCTTAAATAATTCCTGAGTTAATTAAGAAAAAGTTAATTTTCAATAATTATAATTATTACTTAATCAATAATTAATTGGGACCAAAATAAATATTATTAATTGATTAATTTTTCAATTTGATTATTATACTAATTATTTACCATTAAAATGAACGAAAATTAAATTAAATCTTTTACTATAGTAAAATGGTTGAAATACCATAACCAAACATAAATATCCTTTATTTGTATAAAATTTCGACATCATTTTAGCAAACCTGTCTAAATACTTTAGTTACGTAGGCAATAAAGGAGAGTTAATTACTTAATTATGCACATTATTATTTTCCCTTCTATTTTTCGTATATATTTCAAACTTCAAGTTCCCATTATAATATATCTCTCGATTTTCGATGGACGTTTTAGAGAATAAGACCATTTTTATGATTGGTGCCAAAGGGTTTCTTGGAAAGCGTACGTTATCTTTCTAAATATTTCTTTGAAAAAATTTTTGCTTTCTTTTTATTCATTTATATTATATATTTTGAGAGACAGTTATGGTGGAGAAAATACTAAGAGTTCATCCCAACGTGAAGAAACTCTATCTACTTTTACGAAGTGTGGATCAAATCACGGCTTCAAAACATTTCTATAATGAGGTAAATAATTGTGTTTATACCCATATTTTAACTAACTACGGCACTAACTAGTTAGTTTATGTAGATACCGAACATACATAAATGGTTGAATCCTCCACCCATAATCGTTATTTCGGTAAAAAAATGTACTATTGATTATTTGATTCATAGGTTGTAGAGAAAGAATTGTTTAGAGTGTTAAAGGAACAATGGGGTGGAGATCTAAAACCCCTCATCTCAGAGAAGATTTGTTTGGTACCGGGAGATATTTCATCCCCAAATATGGGGTTAAATGATTCAGATTTATTGGAAGAGATGAAGAATCAAGTGGAAATAATCATTAATTTTGCTGCAACGACCAATTTTGATGAAAGGTACCGACTCTCTCGAGCTCCCTTGAGTTATAAAATGCTTAAATTAAAAAGTATTTCAAACTGATCCTGTGTTTGTTTATTTTTTCACAGATATGATGTAGCATTTGGTACCAATACATTGGGAGCTAAACATGTTGTAAACTTTGCAAAGGGATGTTCTAATTTGGAAATTCTCGTCCATGTATCCACGGGTTAGTATCAAATTATATATTTATTTAAATAATTAGGTTAATTACCTGCAATTTATTGAAAAATATTTGTTTTGTTAGCTTTTGTTTCAAATCAAAGGGATGGAGTCATCTTGGAAACTCCGTGCAAATTGGTCGAATCTGTTGATGGTACTTCGAAGTTAGATATTGAAACGGAGCGAAAAATAATTGAAGATAGTTTAAGAGAACTGAGAAATAATAGAGATATAAATGAAATCACGAGGAGCTTAGCCATGAAAGACTTGGGCACTAAAAGGTACGGACGATCAATAGATACCATCTTCTTTATCAATGTAACAATTTTCTTCTTTAATTGTTATTAGGTCAAAAATGTATGGATATCCAAACACGTACACATTTACCAAAGCAATGGGCGAGATGTTGGTTAATGATAAAATTGACAATCTTCCTTTGATAATCATGCGACCGACCATAGTCACAAGCACTTACAAAGAACCTTTTCCGGGTTGGATAGAAGGTTTGAGGTAAAAAAAAAAAAGTTCTTTAACCGGTGTTCATAAGTTGTGTCTGATAGAGTTGAGACATTTAAACTAACTCATAAATCTTAGTTCATTTAAACTCAACCCAACCTAATTCAGACCGTATGAGTTCAAGTAATGGAGAAATGTTGTATTTTACAGGACCATAGACGGCTTTATTGTTGGGTATGCTAAAGGAAAAGTAACACATTTTCCTTCGGGTGCTGGCTCAATTTTAGACTTGGTGAGATGAAATATAATTTCTTTTAAATTTTGATCTCTGGTTCTTTTAAATCTAAGAAGTTTAATGTTTTTAAAAAATGCAGATTCCAGCCCATATGGTAGTAAATGCTATCATCATGGCAATATCGGCACATAAACTCCAACCATCTAGACATACAATTATATACCACGTAAGTTCTTCGATGAGAAATTCTATAAGTAACATTAATTCCCTCAATTATATTCTCCGATACTTTACCGAAAAACCATGGATCAACAAAGATGGAAAGACCATCAAAATTAAGAAACTCACCTTATTCAACGACTTAGCCAGCTTCTATCGATACATGACCATTCGCTACTTGGTTCTTCTCAAGGTATTCTTCAAAATCTATGACTAATGCTTACACAGAACTACGTTTAAATTTACTTTTCCTAATCAATATTGTTATTACGGTAAAGGGTTTTGAGTTCGCGAACAAAGCATTTTGTAACTCTTTCCAACACAAGTACAATGATCTTCAGAGAAAGTTCAATTGGGTGATGCGACAAATTGAGCTTTATAACTCGTTTCTATTCTTCAAAGCCAGGTAATTCCCAAACTAATTTTATACGAAATGTTAGAGTTTAGTTTACATACCTCATTCTAAAATAATCGGATTTGTATGACCTTTGTATCCACCGTACATATGAATACATGTTAAAAGGTTCAAAAGTTGGAATTTATATAACATGAGTTTACGAGACTTATACGATTAGAATATTGTATAATTTTATTTTTGCTTGTACAGATTTGACGACACCAACTTAGAAAAACTGAGAATTGCTGCACGAGACAACAACATAAATCCAAATACGTCGCTTTTGGATCCTAAGGATATAAACTGGGAGGATTACTTCCTGAATATCCACATTCCCGGACTTGTTAAACATGTAATGAAATGATTATAATAGTAGCCCAAAGCAATTGCAACTTCAAGAATTTCTATTCCAGATATATGTCACCTCAATCGAGTCTATCATCACTAAATTAAATAGTTAATTCTCTTTGCTGTCTTCTCTTGGACATCCGTGATTCAAGGCAATATCTTAATTAGTCGCTTATGATACGATATGAGACTTGGTCGATTACTTGTTTATTAAGTGCAACTTTAATGTCCTTTGACCAATGAATTACGTAAAAATTTTGATTACCCCATTATTTGTCTAAAGTTGGAGAACTTATACTCAATCCTAGCTTAATTAATTTGTGGATCTTCCCTCTGACTATGAAAACCCTGAAAATAATGTCGAGCCAAAAGCTTCCCTCGCTAGCCCTCTAGAACTAGATCACGAGCAGTCTCCTCCAAAGCCAGCCAATATAATCACGAGCAGTCTCCTCCAAAGCCAGCCAATATACTCACTCGTATACAAACTTTGTTGTCTATAAATTTGACGAAAAAAAGCCGAAAAAAAAAAAAACTTCAAATTTCAAAATTTCCCAAAGTTTTTATTTTTTTTATTAATAATTTATCAAAATGAGGTACAAGTTATAAATATATCTCATTTAAAATAATTAAATTTAAATTTTGAAAAATGATATGTATATTAATTCTTTAATTATTTTTATAAAATTTTGACAATATTTTGCATGTGATTTTATGATCTTAATCAAACCAAACTTGACCAAACATATCTAAATACTTTAATTACATAGGCAATAAAAGGAAGCTTAATTACTGCTCCTTTTCATATATTTTGGTATATAATGCAACCTTCAAGTATACTAAGTTTTCATTCATATCGATTTCTTCGATTTAAAGTTTATAATATATTTTTCTCGACTTTTAATGGACAATCTCGACAATAAGACCATTTTTGTGATCGGTGCCAAAGGATTTCTTGGAAAGAGTAGGTTATCGTTCTAAATATTTCTTCGGAAAAATGTTAATTTTTTTTTTTAACGTGTTATTATGGCAGACATATCATTTATGTTATATATTTTGAGTGTAGTTATGGTGGAGAAAATACTAAGAGTTCATCCTAACGTGAAGAAACTTTATATTCTTTTACGAAGTGTGGATCAAATCACGGCTTTTAAACATTTCTATGATGAGGTATATAATTGTGTTTGATACCCATATTTTAACTAACGAAACACTAACTAGCTAGTTTATGTAAATATGGAATATAAATGGTCCATAATCGTTATTTGATTCATAGGTTGTAGAGAAAGAATTGTTTAGAGTGTTAAAGGAAAAATGGGGTGGAGATCTAAAAACCCTCGTCTCAGAGAAGATTTATTTGGTGCCCGGAGATATTTCATACCCAAATATGGGATTAAATGATTCAGATTTATTGGAAGAGATGAAGAATCAAGTGGAAATAATCATTAATTTTGCTGCAACGACAAATTTTGATGAAAGGTACCGACTCTCTCGAGCTCCCTAACGCTTAAATTAAAAAGTATTGCAAACTGATCACGAGTTTGTTTATTTTTTCACAGATATGATGTAGCATTTGGTACCAATACATTGGGAGCTAAACATGTTGTAAACTTTGCAAAGGGGTGTTCTAATTTGGAAATTCTCGTCCATGTATCCACCGGTTAGTATCAGATTATATTATTTTTTTTATTATTTAAATAATTAGGTTAATTACCCGCAATTTATTGAAAAATATTTGTTTTGTTAGCTTATGTTTCAAATCAAAGGGAAGGAGTCATCTTGGAAACTCCGTGCAAATTGGTCGAATCTGTTGATGGTACTTCGAAGTTAGATATTGAATCGGAACGAAAAATAATTGAAGATAGCTTAAGAGAGCTGAGAAATAATAGAGATATAAATGAAACCACGAGGAGCTTAGCCATGAAAGACTTGGGCACAAAAAGGTACGGACGATCAATAGATACCATCTTCTTTATCAATGTAACAATTTTCTTCTTTAATTGTTATTAGGTCAAAAATGTATGGATATCCAAACACGTACACATTTACCAAAGCAATGGGCGAGATGTTGGTTAATGATAGAACTGACAATCTTCCTTTGATCATCATGCGACCGTCCATAGTCACAAGCACTTATAAAGAACCTTTTCCGGGTTGGATAGAAGGTTTGAGGTAAAAAAAAAAAAAAAAAAAAAAGGTTCTTTAAGCAGTGTTCATAGGTTGTGTCCAGTAGAGTTGAGACATTTAAGTTAACTCATAAAGCTTAGTTCATTTAAACTCAACCCAACCTAATTCAGACCGTATGAGTTCAAGTAATGGAGAAATGTTGTATTTTATAGGACCATAGACGGCTTTATTGTTGGGTATGCTAAAGGAAAGGTAACACATTTTCCTTCTGGTGCTGGCTCAATCTTAGACTTGGTGAGATGAAATATAATTTCTTTTAAATTTTGATCTCGATTTGTTTTAAATCTAAGAAGTTTAACGTTTTTTAAAAAATGCAGATTCCAGCCGATATGGTGGTAAATGCTATCATCATGGCAATATCGGCACATAAACTCCGACCATCTAAACATACAATTATATACCACGTAAGTTCTTCAATGAGAAATTCTATAAGTAATATTAATTCCCTCAATTATATTCTCAAATACTTTACCGAAAAGCCATGGATCAACAAAGATGGAAAGGCCATCAAAATTAAGAAACTCACTTTATTCAACGACATGGCTAGCTTCCGTCGATACATGACCCTTCGCTACTTGGTTTTTCTAAAGGTATTCTTCAAAATCTATGACTAATGCTTACACCGAACTACGTTTAAATTTACTTTTCCTAATCAATCTTTTTATTAAAAGGGTTTCGAGTTTGTGAACAAAGCATTTTTTTACTCATTCCAAGACAAGTACAATGATCTTCAGAGAAAGTTCAACTGGGTGATGCGACAAGTTGAGCTTTATGACTCGTTTCTATTCTTCAAAGCCAGGTAATTTCCAAACTAATTTCATACGGAACATTGAGTTTAATATATATACCTCGTTCTAAAATAATCAGATTTGTATGACCTTTAAATCCACCGTACATACACGAATACATGTTAAGGGTTGAGAAGTCAGAATTTAATGTAACTTGGGTGTATGAGACTTATACGATTAGTATATCGATATTTTGAGGTATGCAATCTAATATAAGAATAATTTTTTTTTTTCTTTTGCTCGTACAGATTTGACGACACCAACTTAGAAAAATTGCAAATTGTTGCGCGAGACAACAACATAAATCCAAATACATTGCTTTTGGATCCTAAGGATATAAACTGGGAGGATTACTTCCTGAACATCCACGTTCCTGGACTTGTTAAATATGTAATGAAATAATTATAGTTGGAACAATAACTTGTTTTTCTCCTCGTTTGAAGTTTTATGATTTCACTCGAGGATTAAAATAAAAGTATCGACCTATTTCTTTAGGAGTATTTGAAAATAACCCAAAATAATTGTAATTTCAAGAACTTAAATCCCAATAACATATCAGCTCAACCGAGTCTATCAACACCAAACCATGAAGCTAATGCTCTTCACTGTATTCTCTCGGGCATCCGTGATTCAAGACAATATCTTAATTAGTCGTCGATTATTTGTTTATTAAGTGCAACGTATTTTGACCAATGAATTATGTGTGCAAAAGCTTCGATAAATCCACTATCTCTCTATTTTCTCTAATTATATTTATTCATAAACTCTGAGTTCGTATGTAACACTTACTCTTCGTCAAATATGATTTATTTACTAGAGTCTCAACTCGACGGTTAGGATACTTGTAACCATAAATTAACACTCAGCATGTCGGTCAAGTGGTTCCACAGGGCTTAATAGACTAATTTGAGGTCTCACAACAACCTATCGTACGTGTAGACCCATGCTAATCAAGGTAGATCACCGCTAGAGTTTATTTGGCAAACCCCTAGTGGTCTCCACAAACATATTGTCATAAAAAGGGTATAATTCTCCCAACCTCTACCAAGTAATATTGTCACTAGATGGACCCGTGTGAGTTAAAGATCACATGTAAGAGTTAACTGACTCAACCCTCCCATGACGACATCTAATAACTTATGTGTCGAGATAGGCCCATATTCATAAAACACAGAAGCATTGCTTTTAAGATGGTCACGAATCTCAATACGTTCGTCCTCCAAATGTATATCCACATCATCTATTCGATAATCATGCATATCTAACATGTACTAATATGGTTGAAACTCCTCCCATATAATTAACATGCTCATACCATTTCAAAAACTTGAATGAAAACTCCGAACAAACCTCTCCAAATTCCCTTAATAAGGGTTAGTATCGAAATTGGGTTGAAACACAAGCAAACAGAAGTCGAACAAGCAGAAATAGACCATATATGAGTATTAGATTTCCAAGTCGAAAGATATCAGTACAACAACAGCACAGCCAGAAGAACCTACTACCTTAGATAGCCAACGTCTCTGCAACTGATACACATTTAGAGACAAACATTTGTATGACATTTGTGTTAAATGTAGTGTTCATATCAAAATGTCTATCTATACATCAAGAACAGTGCTTCTGAAACTGTTCTTGACATCTTTGGTCAGCTAATAAAGCTTTCAGTCAAGCCGCAAACGCATTCGCATTAACCTTTTTTTTTTTTTTAAGAATTAATGTTATGGCAGGTAAGTCTTGCCTAAATCAGGGAGTAGTTAATTTAAATTGATTAGAGATGAGGTGATAACCTATCATTCTATAATTTCTCTAAATGCTTAATTAGGCAATAAAAGGAAAGTTAATTACTTGAGTTAGGTGCATTACTACTCCTTTTAATCTATTTTGGTATATAATGCAAACTTCATGTTGATTTCTTCACTTTAATGTATATAATCTTCATGGACTTTTTAGAGAATAAGACCATTTTTGTGCTGGGTGCCAAAGGGTTTCTTGGAAAGAGTATGGGAATTTTTTTCATTAATTTGTGTTATTATGTTAAATATATAATTTATATTATATGGTTTGAGTGTGCAGTTATGGTGGAGAAACTATTAAGAACTCATCCCAACCTGAAGAAACTTTATTTACTTTTACGGAACGTGGATCAAATCACAGCTTCAAAACATTTCTGTGATGAGGTATATGACTATCAAAACACTAACTAGCTAGTTTATGTTAATACTAATCATAAAAGGTTTGAATCCTTCACCCATAATCGTTATTTCGGTAAAAAGTTATAATATTACCTTATTGATGGTTTGATTTATAGGTTGTCGAGAAGGAATTGTTTAAAGTGTTAAGCGAAAAATGGGGTGGAGATCTAAAAACCCTTGTCTCGGAGAAGATTTGTTTGGTGTCTGGAGATATTTCATCCCCAAACATGGGATTAAAGGACTCAAATTTATTGGAAGAGATGAAGAATCGAGTGGAAATAATCATTAATTTTGCTGCATCAACGAATTTTGATGAAAGGTACCGACTCTCTCGAGTTGTGTTGATCAGAAAGTATTCCAAATTGATCCTAAGTTTGTTTACTTTCTTGCAGATATGATGTAGCATTTGGTACCAATGTATTGGGAGCTAAACATGTTTTAAACTTTGCAAAGCAATGTTCTAATTTCGAAATTCTTGTCCACGTATCCACTGGTTCGTATCCAATCATATTATTTTTTTATTTAAGTAATTTAGTTAATTACCCACAAATTGATTGAGACAGATGTTTTGTCAGCTTTTGTTTCGAATCAAAGGGAAGGAGTTATCTTGGAAACTCCGTGCAAATTGGACGAGTCTGTTGATGGCACTTCGAAGTTAAATATTGAATCAGAACGGAAAATTATTGAAGAGAGTTTAAGAGAATTGAGAAATAATCGAGATATAAATAAAATTATGAGGAGTTTGGTCATGAAAGATTTGGGCACAAAAAGGTATGCAAGATCAATAGATATCATCCTCTTCGTCAACGTAACAATTTTATTCTTTTATTGTTATTAGGGCAAAAATGTACGGATATCCAAACACGTACGCATTTACGAAAGCAATGGGCGAGATGTTGATGAATGATAGAATTGACAATCTTCCTTTGATCATCATGCGACCAACCATAGTCACAAGCACTTACAAAGAACCTTTTCCCGGTTGGATCGAAGGTTTGAGGACCATTGATGGCTTTATTGTTGGGTATGGGAAAGGAAAAGTAACACGCTTTCCTTCCGATGTTAGCTCAATCTTAGACTTGGTGAGATGAATATAATTTCTTCCAAATTTTAATCTCTCCTTGTAAATCTAAGAAGTTCGATGTTCTAAAGAAATGCAGGTTCCAGCCGACATGGTAGTAAATGCTATCATTATGGCAATACTGACACATAAACTTCAACCATCTGGACGTACAATTATATATCACATAGGTTCTTCAATGAGAAATTCAATGAGGATCGACACTTTGTTCAGTTATATTCACCAATACTTTACGAAAAAACCATGGATGAATGAAGATGGAAAGGTCATCAAGGTTAAGAAAATTACCTCATTCAACAACATTGCTAGCTTCCATCGATACATGACCATTCACTACGTCTTTCTCAAGGTATGTTCCAAAATCTATAACTAATACTTACACGAAACTATATTTCAATTTATATTTTCTAATCGGTATTGTTGTTACTGTAAAGGGTTTTGAGTTTGTGAACAAAGCATTTTGCTACTCTTTCCAAGACAAGTATAATGATCTTCAAAGAAAGTTCAACTGGGTGATGCGACAAGTTGAGCTTTACAACTCGTTTATATTCTTCAAAGCCAAGTAATTTCTAAACTAATTTTATACGAAACATTGAACTTAGTATATATACCACGTTCTAAAATAATCAGATTTGTGTGATTTTTATATCTACCGAACATATGAATACATGTCAAAGGTTAATAAGTCAGAATTTATATAATCTGAGTTTACGAGACTTTGTATAACTTTATTTTTGTTTGTACAGATTTGACGACACCAACTTAAAAAAACTGAGAATTGTTGCACGAGACAACGGCATAAATCCAAATACATCGCTTTTGGATCCAAAGGATATAAACTGGGAAGATTACTTTCTGAATATCCACGTTCCTGGACTTGTTAAATATGTAATGAAATGATTAAAATATCATTTCTTTATGTGTACTCAAAAGTAGCCTAAAATAATTACAATTTCAAGAACTTCAATCCCAAAAACATATCAGCTCAACATATCAGCTCTTTGACATCCGTGATTCAAGGAAATATCTTAATTAGCTGCCTATGATATAGTCCAAAGCTGAACCAGTATTGCAAGAAATGTTAATGATAATAGGTCCTTAATTTCAACACACTGCACATGGATATCTTTCTATTGTCAAACGGAAGTGAATCTTTCCTTTTAAAGTGTAACATCCCCACGTTCTAGGAATTCTTATGCAACAGTTTAAGCCTACCGCTAGCAGATATTGTCTACTTTAGCTCATTACCTATCACTGTCAGCCTCACAATTTTAAAATGCATCTATGAGGAATTTTTATGAGAACATTTTATGCAAAATATTTTTTCTATATTCACATGAAAGTGATGTTCGCACATCACAAATTTTATTTTTCGGGGTCCTAAACAAAGCTTAAACGTTTTTATGTTCTAACTATTTCGAGACAATCAAGTTCGGAAAGAAACTTTTGGAGCATCTTAGAAGTTCATTAATTGGAGCAGCAACCAAAAAGTTTGACGATGAGCTGCTTGCTGTAGTGAACCTCCAATTTATTACATCCTTCAATTTTTCATACGAGTATGTCAACAGTTAGTTGTAAGTTTTAATGGTTTTCAGTCTTCAACTACAGTTCCGTAATCTAATTGAATTTGAATTTCATGTCCATTTGCATTTTCACATAACACATCTAACACAGATGTCAACGGGGGCGGGAACAAAGAAATTTTGATAGACAGCTTTAGTGAGAAACCTTGTTTAGTCAACCTTTTTCCATAATAATGAGGTTAGTTGACAAACATAAAACCACAAAAGATTTCTATAAAACCTCGTTCCTCATAATTCAAATTCAACTGAAAATCCCTCTCTCATGGATAAGTGTAGCAGTGCAATGGAGTTTCTTGAGAATAAGAACATTCTGATCACTGGGGCCACTGGTTTTCTTGCTAAGAGTATGTATTCTTCTTCTCTTATAAAGAATGTTCTGCATATTTCACGTCAATTTATGAACTAGTGTCTCATTTTGTCGGAAAATTCCAGTTTTGGTGGAGAAAATCTTGAGGGTTCAACCAAATGTGAAGAAACTCTATTTACTATTAAGAGCAGCAAACGAGTCGACAGCTTTGGAACGTTTCCATAACGAGGTATAGTTTTTTTCTAGCAATTTTGCTCTTTGTTTGAACTATCTTTTCCAAACAGTTGATAGAAAAATGCACATTATTTTGATTGTAAAGGTGATAGGAAAGGATTTGTTTCAAGTATTAAAGAAGATGTGGGGTAGAGACTTTGATACCTTGATTTCAGAGAAGGTTTGTGTGGTTCCTGGGGAGGTCTCACTCTCAGAAATAGGATTGAAAGATTCAAATTTGGTAGCAGAGATGAAGAATCAAGTGGAACTAATTGTTAATTTGGCTGCAACGACCAAGTTCGATGAGAGGTACACACAGAACTATGCTCACTAAATACTTTGAACCATTTTGGTTCGTCATTGAAACAATGTTGTCCATTTCCTTTTGATAGATACGATGTAGCAGTTGGCACTAATACCTTAGGAGCTAAACATGTCGTCAGCTTTGCAAAGCAGTGTCCAAATCTAAAACTCCTTGTCCATGTATCCACTGGTTAGTATAAATCATCAGACATAATATATTTAAGCTATACTTTATAACAAATAATAGGAGAAGATGTCTGTTTTGGTAGCTTATGTTTCAGGAGAAAGGGGAGGGCTTATCTTAGAAACTCCATATAAATTGGGTGAGTCTCTTAATGGCATCCAAGGTCTAGACATTGCTACGGAACAAAAGGTAATGGAAGAAAAACTTGAACAACTTGAAGAGAATGGAGCTACGAAAGAAGCCATAACATTAGCCATGAAAGACTTTGGCCTTGAAAGGTACACAATTAGTATTAATGAAGATTATTGATAAGATATGTTGTCATATTTTGAACGTTTTGTTTAATGACAAGGGCTAAGATGTATGGATGGCCAAACACGTACGTATTTACAAAGGCAATGGGTGAGATGATGGTTAATGATCTAAAAGACAATCTACCTGTGATCATCATACGACCAACTATAGTTACGAGTACTTACAAAGAACCTTTTCCCGGATGGATTGAAGGCATCAGGTAAATATCTTTCGAGTGATCATAGGTAGTTTGGGAGACCACAAAAGCATCCCAATAAGTGGTGAAAGCAAAAACTAACTGAGAACTTGTGGCATTTTTACAGGACCATTGATAGTTTAATTGTTGGATATGCTAAGGGAAAACTAACTTGTTTTCTTGCTGGGATTAACTCAATCGTTGATTTGGTGAGATAAACGTTCATCTTCCTATGTCTTATAGTGTATATATGAATTTAGAATTGATTTTCAAGAACACGCAGGTTCCTGCAGATATGGTGGTAAATACGATTATCATGGCAATGGTAGCACATGAGCTTCAACCATCTGATAAAGCAATATATCATGTGGGTTCTTCAGCAAGAAATTCTATGAGATATATAGATTTCCAACGTTTTAACTATCAATATTTCACTAAGAAGCCATGGATAAACAAAGAGGGAAATGCTGTGAAGGTTGGGAAAGTTACTGTCTACAACAATATGGCTAGTTTCCAAAGATACATGAACATTCGCTACCTATGTTTGCTAAAGGTACATAGTTTACTCCAAATAACTACAAGTTTCCCTCTCATCTTGAGGTTATAAGCCAAGCTTTTGTTATTGAAGGGATTGGAATTTGCGAACAAGGCCTTTTGTCACTCTTTTCAAGACAAGTATGTTGACATGAAGAGGAAGTTCAATTTAGTGATGCGGCTCATCCAACTTTATCGTCCATATCTATTCTTCAATGCTATGTAAGTGAAAATCCTCTAGATTCTATGTTCATTTCAGTACAGATTCATGTAAAAAGTAAACCATATTATCATCGCTCGATTGATAAATGCACCAATAATCATTCTAAATGTCGATAATTTGATTTTGTATTGTTCATTGATTTTGTTTCGTATGTACAGATTTGATGATACAAATGTAGAAAGGTTGAGAATGGATATTGAAAAGAAAGATAGAGAACCAGAGACCTTCTTGTTGGATCCTAAAGAGATTAACTGGGAGGATTACTTCATGAATGTTCATCTTCCTGGGCTGGTTAAACACGTCTTTAAATGACTCTTAAAGTCCAACAACAATTTATAGTTCCTCATTGAATGCCTTTTAGTTTTATTTCTTTTAAATTACAGTGTACGTCTATAAGCTTTTACTTTACTTTTATTCTGCTTTTTTGCCCTTTTTGTTGTATTTCATTGATGATAAAATTCTTATTATTTGTATTCTATTTAGGTTAGTGACATTTTGTTGTTTGTTTCCACATTGTGATTTTAACGGCCCAGATCCACCGCTAGTAGATATTGTTCTCTTTGGGCTTTCCCTTTCGGGCTTCCCCTCAAGGGGAAGGTTTCCACACCCTTATAAATGGTGGTTTGTTCTCCTCCCCAACCAATGTGGGACATCACAGTGATGTCTCGTCTTTGAAGATGTCTACGTAGGTTCTTCCTAAATCATGTCTACATAGGTTTTTCCATACATGTGTCTCGGGTTAATTACTACCAATTTTAAACCCTAAAACATGCTTAATAACTCCACATTTGTTCTTAACATGTTTCCTTAATCACTTCAAGGTAGACTCCACAGGTACATCTTAAGAAAATCCAACACAACACGTACAAAATATCATGTTGCAAGCTCCAAGCTCCAATTTTGCTGGGAGCTCCAAAGGATCATGGTTTTAGTATTGCTCCTTGTATAGAACATGAGATGATTTAAGTCACCTCCCTACACCTTGTTCAACATGTAGCAACTCCAAGAATTGCTATAAGTGTAGGTCTCACAAGAACAGGGCATCCTTCAACCATACACATCTTGTGTTCACCATGGCTACAAGGCTATAAGACATGAACACCAACGTAAGGAACAAGGCCACACTAGCTTTTACTTCAAACCTTCTTCCCTACACCTTGCTCGCTCGCTGCAATCTACATGTCCAACAACAAACTCATGGCTTTTCTTGCTCAATGGCACGCCTCTAAGTCATGGCTGTATCCACAAGATGGCTTAAGGGAAAGTGGCAAACCCGAGACCACAAACCCATTTCTAGGTGTGAACTGTTTTTCTTTCCTCTCGGCTTTACCTCTTTTCTTTTGACACCTGAAGGGCCATCTTTGACTACTTGCAGCAAGCTTTGTCCTTTAATTCCAAATATTATAAATGGAAATAGTATAGTATAAAATATATTATATGATATAAGAATATTATATATTAACTATAGAATTCGTTTAATCTATAGATAAATCATATAAAAATAGCCTAATATAATAGGTTAGCTCTGCACGCAGTTATTGTTAAAATGGTAAAATTTCTCCTTGCCAAAGAGAAGACGTGGGTTTGATTCCCGCTATCCACCCAAGATCAGGAACAAGAAGTTGGTGGGTTCAATAAAAATAAAGTTGGGGTGGTTGGTGGTTTCGAGGTCCCATAGGTTGAATCGATGTTTCATCAACTTTTCCATGATATAATACAAATATTTATTTACTATCTATATGGATGTCGAACCTATGAATGTGTGAAAGTATCGACGAAAATATCGATTTGTTGTTAAAAATTTAATATCGGGTTGAGAAGGGAATCCGGTAGAATTGTAGTGGAAAAATGAACCACTTTTTTTTACAAAAGTTGTTATTATTGTTCTTATTAATTAAAAGATTTGAAAGGATTTAAATCTAGAATCATTTAAAATTTTGTTACCATCTTTGGAAAAAATAAGTTGAAATGAGTAATTAATTTATGTGTGGTTGAGTGGATGTTCAACATAAAAGCAAAAAGTAATAAATAAATTGCTAAATTTTAAAAAGTGAAAAAAAAAAAAAAATAAATTGCAAAATTTTAAAAAGTTTATTGCAAGTATTAGATTTTTTTAAACTATTGATTAATCTTTTAATTTTGTATTTAAAATGTACTTTATACGTTCAAAATTATTAAAAGTTCTATTAGATAGAGAATTTTTGAATTTTTTATTTAGTTTCGATAATTACTTCCAACAATTTAAAGTTATTTATTTATTTATTTATTTAACAATAAATCTTAATCATCCATTTTGATAGGTTACATAAAAATGAGTGTTTTCATGACTTGGGAAAGAGTTTTCTCATATAAAAAGCCACTAATCTTTCCCAACAAACATGAATTTTAAATGCTCTTTGTTTTTTCTCCATAAAACCCTTCAACCAAATGAGTATCAGTTGGTAGTCAACAAAGGATTTGTACCTGAAAACCCCATATCAAACCAAAATACAAAACCACAACTTTTTAACTCAAAAAACAAAAAGGCAAAAACCTTGTTGGAGTGAACTATAAAACCTCGTTGCTCCTAATTCAAATTCACCTGAAATCCCTCTTTCATGGATAAGTGTGGCAGTGCAATGGAGTTTCTTGAGAACAAGAACATTTTGATCACTGGGGCCACTGGTTTTCTTGCCAAGAGTATGTACTCTTCTTCTCTTATAAAGGATGTTATGAACTAGCTATTGAATTACCTGGGTCATTCTGCTGTAATATGGTTACATTATGTTGCAAAATTCCAGTTTTGGTGGAGAAAATCTTGAGGGTTCAACCAAATGTCAAGAAACTCTATTTACTGTTAAGAGCAGCAAACGAGATGATAGCTTTGGAACGTTTCCATAACGAGGCATGGTTTTTCTACCAATTTTGCACTATGTTTATCTGCTAACCACACATTATTTGAACCATCTTTTTCAGACAGTTGATAGAAAAATGCATTATTCTGATTGTAAAGGTGATAGGAAAGGATTTGTTTCAAGTATTAAAGAAGATGTGGGGTGGAGACTTTGATACCTTGATTTCAGAGAAGGTTTGTTTGGTTCCTGGGGAGGTCTCACTCTCAGAAATGGGATTGAAAGATTCAAATTTGGTAGCAGAGATGAAGAATCAAGTGGAACTAATTGTTAACTTGGCTGCAACGACAAAGTTCGATGAGAGGTATACACATAACTATGCTCACTAAATACTTCGAACCATTTTGGTTCGTCACTAAAACAATGTTGTCCATTCCCTTTTAATAGATACGACGTAGCACTTGGCACTAATACCTTCGGAGTCAAACATGTCATAAGCTTTGCAAAGCAGTGTCCAAATTTGAAACTCCTTGTCCATATATCCACTGGTTAGTATAAATCATCAAACATAATATACTTAAGCTATACTTTATAATAAATAAAAAGAGAAGATGGGTCTGTTTTGGTAGCTTATGTTTCAGGAGAAAGAGGAGGGCTTATCTTGGAAACTCCATATGAATTGGGTGAGTCTCTTAATGACATCCAAGGTCTAGACATTGCTACAGAACAAAGGGTAGCGGAAGAGAAATTCAAACAACTTGAAGAGAGTGGAGCTTCGAAAGAAGCTATAACATTAGCCATGAAAGGCTTAGGCCTTGAAAGGTACACAATTAATCAAGTCCTACTGTCCTACTGAAGTTAAACTTTACATTATTGATAAAGATATGCTGTCATATTCTGAACTTTTTGTTTAATGATAAGGGCTAAGATGTATGGATGGCCAAACGTGTACGTATTTACAAAGGCAATGGGTGAAATGGTGATTAATGATGTAAAAAACAATCTACCAGTGATCATCATCCGACCAACTATAGTTACAAGTACTTACAAAGAACCTTTTCCCGGATGGATCGAAGGCCTCAGGTAAATAATTCATGAATATCTTTTGGAAAACTAGAAAAGAATCCCAACAAGTGGTAAAGGCAAAAATTAACCCCTTTTTGGATCTCTATTTCTTGAGTAAGCATATCAAGCTATTGTATCAATGCTGAGAACGTGTTAACATTTTTACAGGACCATCGACAGTTATACTGTTGGATATGCTACAGGAAAACTAACATGTTTTCTGGCCGGGATTACTGCAATTATTGACTTGGTGAGATAAAACACAATTTCTTCTTAAATGTTCATGTTTCAGAGTCTTATGATGCTCATCTTTCAGGTTCCCGCAGATATGGTGGTAAATACAATTATCATGGCAATGGTTGCTTATGAGCTTCAACCATCTGATAAAACAATATATCATGTGGGTTCTTCAGCAAGAAATTCTATGAGATATATTGATTTCCAACGTTTTAACTACCAATATTTCACTAAGAAGCCATGGATAAACAAAGATGGAGATGCTGTGAAGGTTGAGAAGGTTACTGTCTTCAACAATATGACCAGCTTCCAAAAATACATGAACATTCGCTACCTAGTTTTTCTGAAGGTGCATAGTTTTTAATCTCAAAGTTATAGAAATTTTAACTGTTTACTCCAATTAGTATACGTTTCCCTCTCATCTTGGGGTTATAAGTCAAGCATCTATTATTTAATTAATGAGATTTATGAATTTCATAATGAAGGGATTGGAATTTGCGAACAAGGTCTTCTGTCACTCTTTTCAAGACAAGTATATTGATATGAAGAAGAAGGTCAATTTTGTGATGCGGCTCATCCAACTTTATCGCCCATATCTATTCTTCAATACCATGTAAGGAAATTTTTTTTCCAAATGTTCTACATGTTTTTTTTTTTTTACTCTATACAACTAGATTTTTGTAACACATTCAACAAAAAATCGTTTAGAAAGTAAACAGAGTTATCATCACTCAATAGATAAATACATCTATTACCATTCTAAATGTCTGTGGTTTGATCTCCACGTACCATGGTTCAACTAAACAAGACTTTACCTACTATTTTTTCTCATTTTCTTTTTGTATTTCTCATTGTTTTGTATGTACAGTTTTGATGATACAAATGCAGAAAGGTTGAGAATGGATATTCAAAAGAAAGATAGAGAAACAGAAACCTTCTTATTGGATCCTAAGGAGATCAATTGGGAGGATTACTTCATGAATATACATTTTCCTGGATTGGTTAAATACGTCTTCAAATGATTCTAAGTCCAAAATCGAGTTGTAGTTCCCCATTCAATACATTTTAGTTGTCTTTCTTTTAAGTCTTATGAAGTATGTGTGTAAGCTTTTACTCTACTTTATTATATCAAAAGGGCAAACGAAAAGCCATGAGCGTGAAAGAGGCTAAAAGTGTTGATACTTTTGCTCTTTCCGTTAGACTTCATTCATGAGGTAAAATGAATGCTATGTAGGGTAGTGACATTTTGTTTTTTTTTTATTATTATTATGTTTAGAGCTTTTCATGATATAATAAAAATATCGATTCATTAAAGCTGTTTATGGATTGAAATTTGTGTGGAAAGTATCAATGAAAATATTGATATGTTAACAAAAATTTAATATCTTGAATAGGGCAAGAATCCAGTAGAATTCTAGCACGAAAATTATGCTTTTTTTTTTTTTTTACAATTCTATCATTTCCTTAAAAATAAAAGTTATTTGGAAGGATTTTAAGTCTAGAATAATTTAAAATCTTATAACAGGTTTGAAAAAAAAAGTTCAAAGGAGGGTAATTACTTTACTTTGTGTGAAGGTTCAACCTAAAAAAATAAATAAATTGTTAGCTTAGTTATAAGAATGTGTTTGTTTCATAGGTAAACTTTAAAAAGTGTGTAATATGTGCTTATGTTTTCAACCTTGTGATTAATAGTTTTTTGAACCCTAAAATGTCTAATCAGCCTACCTTCCCATTTTGTGATCAATACATACTGGACAGCGGATCACAGCAAGGAATTCAGATCTAGAAGACAAATTCTACTTTGATCCTAGAGTTATGGATTGGGCAGACTACTTTTTCTATATCCACATTTCAGCCCTGGCTACGTGTGCCACGAAATGATTATAATCCCCAGACCCCACAATTTAAAGGTCGGGATAAATTTAATGTTTTCCATATATTATCAACATAGTGACTGTTGTGTGACAATATAGTTGCAGAAGTCTACCAAATAACAAGTATTTCATATCACTAGCAAATAAGAAAGCATTTGCTAAGTCATGCACGCCTATATTCATCCCCACAGTCCCCAATAATTTTAAGAAGATTCTTACCTTTTTTGGAAACTTCCTCGATGCTGTTTATGTCCTTCTCGTCAAGAGCAAGAGAAAATATGGCATTTGTATCTTGCAAATGCTCTGATAACCCAAGCCGAACGCCTATCATTGATCCCGCCACAGCTGGCTGCAATCTCAGAAGGGAAACGCAGTCGCATTGTGAATACGAAAATGTATAATACATGTAGGAAGTTACTAAGATTTGCGTGTGAAAGCAATCTTCTTTACAAGAAAGGCCACTTTACCTGATCTAGAATGTATTTAACAGCAACGGTCGGAATCGAGACCCCATGCTTAGAAGCAACTCTTTTAAGTGTCTGTAGCAGAACTTGAAACAAACTCCATCCTCCCCATGCATCAACCATCTGCCGTGTATAAGAGTTCTCACTTAAGTAAGGTCAAACAACAGATCCAAGAAGATTTCTCACTTCTCCACCTTTCTTTCGTTGAGAAAGAGCATTACCATTCATTTTAAGGTTACTATTTCTCATCTAAATTCGAGTCTAAAATCAAATAAGAATCCTATGCAATTTAATTTATTTCCGAACTCCCTAATATTGAGGAATAGCTGGCTCCAGCATCAGTATCATTAATGTAAAAGAATTTTTCATACCCTTTTGTACTTTTGCAGGGAGGGAGTATTTAATGGAGGGCCAGCAAAAGGAATCGTTAAGTTGGTGTCGAGGAATTTTTCAGATAATAAGCCACCCATTACAGTTCCATACCTGCATTAGAAATCATACTTTAAATAAAACATTGCCAATGCGGGTAGCAAAATCAAATAGAAGCTATAGATCATAGGAAAACGGTAACACCGATGACATCATGGCTCGGGATAATTGGTCAAATGAAATAGTGGGAGACAAAGACATACGTTATCAGCTTGACTCCTGTGAGCTTACAAAGCTCTGCCATCTTTTGTTGAGGCCTCATATCAACAATAGAGTGCTGAACCTGATGAATTTTCATCAAAGATATGAGTCAATAATAAACCAAAAAAGCAATGAACAATGAAAGAAATGCCCCTGACATTTACCTGATTACTCACAACAGGGATATCATTTTCCAAAATAATTTGTAACCTTTCCGTGTCAAAATTTGTCAAAGCAACCGTCTTGATTTTACCTACACACGACTTGCTAAAGTAATCTAATTAACTAAAACTTCAAAAAAAACCAAAGAGCTCGAATAAATAATTCTTACCCTCTTCTTTCAAATCGGTCAGATGTTTGAGAGCATCAAGATAGCCAGAGTTCGAATAATCCCACCTAATCCAAATACAAAGTTAAATATTTAGATACACTTCAAAGAACCATATAAAAACATCAAGTTTTAAGAAGGATACCAAGGAAACATAGACGACACACCATGTTTTTTTTTTTTTTTTTCAAAATGTCAAAAAGTAAAAAAGTGTTACATTGCAACAACCAAGATGTACGACAATTAAAAATATGAATTGGAAGTTGGAACCGCTCCTCGAGAACTGTCTAAAGTTGGAACTGCTCCTCGAGAACTGTCTAGATGAGTTCTATGGTCAATTTATAGATTCAATTCATTGATCATCATTGATCCTGTCTTATAATTTTCATAGTTCATTCCACAAATCTAAGATAGCAAGAGAAGCATCAAAGTATAGCCTACCTAATTTTTTCTTTCAGGAATGGAGTATCAATTGTGAAAAACGTGCACTATAGGTTCCATAAAGACAAACTATATTTTTCTGCCATCTTCTTGAGGATTCTGAGTATACATAACCACAACCAAACTTTGCAAACAACTTTGAATTAGGTAAGATATGCCAGATCAGAAGGTGAGCCACTCGGGGTTCATGCTTTAAGCTACTTATCAAATCAAGACTCTTGAGACGATGTTTTACTGAATCAAATATGAGCACTGAAAGAGATTGATAAACCACACGTCACTTTAACATTGTGTATATATATGCATGCAATCCTGTGCGTCCATAAGAGAAGGCATCAATTGTTATTTACCAGTGAAATTGAAGCATATCCAAAGAAGACACATCCATTCTCTTTCGTGAGATATTAATGCTCTCTCGGACATAGCTACTAGTCATCTTCACCGGCGGCGGCACCCATTTTGTAAGCCTGCATATGCAATATTAAACAGAAACATGAATTTCCAATTTTCGATTTTGTAAACTCAATTGGATATGGCATATCAAAAGAAAAGCATGATAAGTTTCTTTTCTGTACTCAAATCTACTTGCAAATGCGCACGTTCTTCCACTAAACATGGATCTCAAAAAATACTGATCCAACTACCTACAATGAGGTGGTAGCTCACCCTCTTATGTTCTCCAGGAGTTCAGGCGGACGCTCTCTACGAACTCGATTGATGAAGATGCCATATAAATCTTCAGCAGGTCCATCTACACAAATGGAGGGGCACCAATATTTTAAGGCGTCAAGTCAAACCCACTAGATGGTAAACATCTCTTCATTTCAAATAGCAGGCATACTTAAATAGAATTATAATTTACGGGATTTAATGAACAATAATCCTCGTGAAACTCCAAATTTATCAACTTCATATCTATATGGTCTCATTGATCATTATGGTTCAATCCGAGAAAGCAGAAGGAAAATCGCAGCACAATCAGCGACAATTCAATGTGATAGCTGAATATGACAACAAACAACTACGGGGACTGGCGAAGTGCATACATATATCAGCCATATCAAATGTGTCAAGTCCAGAATCAGCATATTTAATCATTGCATCAACCGCATTATCTCGATCAATTCGACCCCACCCCCCGCTTGTCTGCCACATTCCATTTACAACCCGACACACGTCTAACGCATCCTCTCCATTCTTAACCACCGTCCGTCGTTTATTTTCAGTGAGCACACATCTAAAATAACCAGAATTCAATCTCTGTGACTTCCATTCTCTTCTCTGCTTCACAAACTCAAAAGTGAACCCACTAGGAGAATTAGGCAAGAGCTTCGCCATTTTAACTGTGTGAAGCTAAATGAACCAAAGAAGAGGAGGCCACTCGAATATTTTCCTAGTCCACGCACCAGAAGCCGATTAATCCCTATCTTCCAGTCTACTGAGGCATTTATCCTAAGGAACGAAAATATTATTTTCCAAAAACAGACCTCCTTCAAAATTACATCTACCAGGAAAGAGAGAGGATAAAATCAAATCAAACCAGGAATTTTAAAAAATATGTGGCACGTCAACAGGCTACGTGGCTACATTAAAGCTGTTAATGGATTGAAACGCACAGCCTACCAAGTGGTCCACAAGGAAACAAATGCCAAAAGAAGATGATAATATTAACAGATAATTTTAATTTCAAATATTTGTGGATATTGGATCCCTAAAGCGCTGTAATACGTACAGTGGTCGGCCATATCAAAGGTTGAAAGTCCAGCGTCGGCATATCGGAGCATTGCCTCCACCGCGTCGTCACGGTCGATTCTCCCCCATCCACCGCTAGTCTGCCACATTCCGTTGAGAACTCGGGAAATTACTAAGGAATCCTTGCCATTTGACACTGTAACACTTTGGGCAGAGCCTTCCAATGTCTGAGAGCACTTAACCGAGCTGTTAGCTCCAAGTTTTCTCCTCTCGTAGCGCGTTCTGGTCTCAGCCGTGAAGGATTTTAACGCGGTGAGATTCAAGAAGCTCCGTTGAGTGATTGCTGCCATGGCTATTGCCCTCTGTCGAGTGCCAGAGAGGACCAGACGATTTGAGCTAAGAAACTGGGAAGTGGCTGAGGATTTTTGGCGTACTGTCTGGCTTTTTTATTTTTCTTTTCTTTTCTTTTAGGCTAACATGTATAAACGCTCCGTTACTTTTGTATTCACATTTTTTACTAGCATCTCGTGGTGGTGACGGTGATTATAAACTTTACGAGATATTAAAGTTAATTATAAATTTAGTCTTTTAAAATTTTATGTTCTTTGATACTTACTTAATACAATATTCAAAACGAAATAAACTCAAACTTAAGAATTTATGGTATAAATTTGTAACACTTGCCATTTTATAAATTGCTCCAGGGTACGTCGGACTAGGATGTTGGACCTATTACAAAGAAACCAATGGCAGACTCGTTATACGGAGGACAAAATAAGAAGTATAGCGATTATGTATATGAAATTATTTTTTAAATAGAATCCAAAAGCACAGTTCGTTCAATTTGTTTGCGTCTAGATGGGATAAGGTCAAGACTTCACAGGTTACAAGCACCATCTAGGTAAAGACTTATCAGAATGTCACAACTTAAAAAGCAAAAACTTAGAATAACTACTAACTAATACTGTATAATACAATGAGAGAGAATTTTAAGCAACACTCGAAACAAACCTCTTCCACAAAACACACTCATCTATATTAATACCTCTTGTATCTTTGTAAGAGTCCAAGCCTACTACTACTTGCAGATATTGTCTATTTTAGCCCGTTAGGTAGCCTTATAGTTTTAAAAACGCGTCTGTTAGGAAAAGGTTTCCACACCCTTGTAACGAATGTTTCGTCCTCCTCTCTAACCGATGTGGGATCTCACAATCTACCCCCTTGGGGTCCAGCCTCCTCGTTGACACTCCGTCCGATGTCTGGCTCTAATACCATTTGTAATAACTCAAGCCCACAGCTAGCATATATTGTCCGCTTTGGCTCGCTGTGAGATCCCACATTCGAGCCAAATACTGGGTGGTGTGCCAGCAAGGACGTTGTGCTCCAATGAGGTGGATTGTGAGATCCCACATCGAATGGAGAGGGGTACGTAGCATTCCTTATAACGGTGTGGAAATCTCTCCCTAACGGACGCATTTTAAAAACTTTGAAGGAAAGCTTAAAATAGAAACCCAAAGAAGATAATATGTGCTAATGGTAGGCATTGTCTGGAACACCAACATCCAACCTCCCAACTACCTATGAATCAAAATTTCAAATTCTCAGGTTGGAAAAGGTCCAATCAAACCATACTATGAAAAAGAAAGAAAAAATTGCAGAAGGCAGTTTTTCCAGAAATTCTCAATTAATCAACTAAATTATGTAAGCCAACAAGGATCCTACAAGGAAATATAAAACAAAACGGACTTAAAGATTAAAAGTTAAAAATAAAAAAACCTGCTGTTGATCATGTAATGCCCTTGAAAAAAATATATATCTGCTGCAAAAATTGGCCTATCAAGTTCAAAATTTCCTTATGGTACCTGCCAAATATGATTTCAAAAGTATGGTTCATATCAACACTCATATAAATAAAGAATTTGGAGGAGGAAAAAGAAGTCATACGGGCATATCTTGCAAGAGAGATTCTCTCATTCAACCATTGGGTTGATGCAACACCGCGTTGCGTTCCAATCTTTGCAGCTGTTTGTTGCCAACCAAGAACCTGTAATGCTCACATCACACAATGTAATGCATCTAACGTATGTTCAGCAACTAGTTAAAAATATCTGATCACTTTTGAAGTAAGAGTCATATATATATATATATATATACACACACACTATTCTTGTTGATTTCATATAGAGAGGCACAGGTACGACTTATCCGAATATATCATACACAAACATTATGGATATTAAACCTCAATACCTCCTCCTTCTCTTGCTTTTTTTAAAAAAATTGCAGTGTAGAGAGTAATACAAATAAAAATAGGGAATATATACATGATACACAATCAATAATACAAAAGATATAAAAGGGAATCCAACACTGCCCCTCAAGCTGCTTTGTAAATATCTTCCATAGCAAGCTTGTTGATAAGTTTATCAAATTGTCTTTTAGAAAGACCTTTAGTTAACATATCATCTGCCGGAAGATAAGATAGGCTTAAGACACCTGCATCAATCTTCTCTTTTGTGAAATGTTTGTCGAAGTTCAATATGTCTTGTCCCATCATATTACACATTCTATTTATCATATAAGTAGTCATGAGTACAACTTCTGTGAGATCCCACAAGGGTGTGGAAGCCTCTCCCTAGTGAACCTGTTTTAAAACCTTGAGAGGAAGTCTTTGAAGAGAAAACCTAAAGAGGGCAGTATACTAGCAGTGGGTTAGGACCGTTACAACTTCCCCATAAATGTTTAGGAACATGCATTGAAAACATTATGACACGTGCAACACGTCTAGTGAGTGTCTACTTTTTTGTTCAACAATTCCAATTTGTTGAAGGGTATCTTGACAAGTAGACTGATGTAAAATGCCCTTATCCTTTAAAAAATCACTCAAATACTTGTTGAAGTACTCAGCTCCATCGCAAGTGTGTAAGATGTTGGTTTTAGTTTGAAATTAAGTTTCAATCAGATTATAGAAATGTTTGAAAAAGTCTTTCGCCTCAGATTCTTTTCATTAAATAGGCCCAAGATAGATGTGTGTGATAGTCAATAAAAGTAACACACCACTTTTTACTACTATGAGTCAAAAACTTTATAAGAATCTCAAACGTCGCAATAAATTAAGTAGATCGGTCTGGAAGCTTTGGAAGGTTTTGGTACATAGTGGATCCATAGTTTTTTTGCAATATGCAACTTTCACAATGAAGAAATGAGCAATCAACATTTTATAATAAATTGGAAAACAAACATAAGTAGAAAAAATTGAGCTGTCCTAATCAATGATGCCAAAGCATGATTTGTTCAAAAACAATATGAGAACTGATACTACTAAGATCCGAGTTATTTTATTACTAGAAAAACATTTGTCTTAGTACTAAGAGACTATGCACTTCAAACCTTCTTTCCCAAGTCTTGATGCTGAAAATACAATGAGAATTAAAGAAAGTGGCATGACAATTGTAATCTCTACAAAGTTTACTGATAGATAAAAGATTACAGGCTAATATAGGAACATGAAGAACAAATGTTAAAAAGTATCTAATCAATTTAATAGTTCCTTTGTCCGTAATAGAGAAACTGAACAAAGGATCCAAAAACCAATCCTGGACAATAGCATTTCAATGTTTGATCTTACTTGGGACAGTAGCACACATTACGATTATTGATATTTAGAAAATGCCGCTTGAAATCAAATTACGATTCCCTGGCCATCGAAACAATTCTTTAAGGAAACATAGGCATCTGTCATCTTCATAGATAATTTATCGGATTATCAGCGTTATCAAAATTCCACTCCCTAAATTATCCTTACTTCCTTGGCAGAATAGCAACATCCAAAATCATCCAATCACTAGAAATTTCCTGGTTGAAAGAAACAGAAAACGCAAAAAGAAAGTACAAGAGCAGCCAGATTCTACAGTATTTACTTACAGGAGCAAAAGTGAACAACCATCCAAGCCTCTTATCGCCTTCAGAGAAGATATCAAATCCAAGCTTTGATTCGATCTCCTCCCCGGGGGAACGGATTATCCTCTGCTTCTTCGACCTACTACTCTTGTCTGCTCGGCCTCGCCCTCGGCTTTCGCCGCTCATTATAATTGCCGGTCATCACAAACGCCGAAAGATCAGAGTAAAACAATAATGCTTCAAATAAACAGGAGACGAGAAGAGACATGGTGAGAGAGAGTTTTAAGAAACTGTGCTTCCGAGAAGAAATGCCGCGACACTGTCTGCCGGTAGAAGATTTTCCCGCGCAATCATGTACCGTTTATTACAAGTGGACGAAAATGCCCTCCTCATCGGGCCTCTTTTTGGGCCGAAAAGGTTTCATGGGCTTTTAATGGTTGGGCACTTCCCAGCCCAAATGAGGAGGGTATTTTCGTCATAATGAGACGAAAAGATATATAGTTGGACCTGGAACTGCAAAACTCCCGGAGACCCATATGACGCCCATTAACCGTTTTAGGCTCACGAAAGGCCCGAAAAAGAGAACCCTAATTATAAATTGTTGCATCCGCGACATTTGGCTTTTTACTATTTGACCGGCGGCTCCGATCTCCCTTCCCTCTTGTTTGCGGCTTCTGTTACGAGCTTCTCAAGTATTCTTTCTTCTCCAAATCTTGTTTTTCCATTGATTTTTATTGTGTATGTGATTCTCATTTCTGGTTTTTAACATTTGATGGTGTCGAAGCAGAAATGAAGGTGGTCGCTGCGTATTTGTTGGCCGTACTCGGTGGCAACACCAGCCCCGGACTCGATGATGTGAAGTGTATTCTTAATTCAGGTTCTTTCACAAACTATTTGTTCTTTTCTTACAGATTCAATTGCTACATTGGCATTGTTGTTGCTGTCGAAGATAGAGTTGTTGTTATAGGATTTGATAATGACTGGGTTTTAATCGATCCGAAATTTTGTTATACTGGCCGTCTCTTTATGATTTAGTTAGGGAGTTGCTAAAAATTAATTTAAGTCTGAAATGTATTACCCGAAACGATGGGCGCTCTTATTGAATTCGTGTTATGATATCTTGTGGGGTTTTATTTACAGTTGGGGCTGAGGTGGATGAGGACAGGATTGACTCGCTATTATCCCAAGTGAAAGGAAAGGATATCACAGAGTTGATAGCCTCCGGACGGGAGAAGCTAGCGTCAGTTCCATCTGGTGGCGGTGCAGTCGGCATCGCCGCCCCTGCCGGCGGTGTCGCTGGTGGTGGTGCAGCACCAGCCGCAGCCGAGCAGAAGAAAGAGGAGAAGGTCGAGGAGAAAGAAGAATCTGACGATGTAAGTGTTTAACCTGTTGTTCATAGGCATACACATTTTGATTTGCTATTCTGCATTCTAATCTGTGAATGACTTGTACTGTATGAAAATGGACCTAAATTTTATGTCTCATCTTTCTGCAGGATATGGGTTTCAGCCTCTTTGACTGAGAAACTCATTTGGCGTCATTATCAGTTAGTATTTTTGTTGAATTTGGTTCAAGTTTCAGGGCTGTGGTAGCTTGATAGAGGTTTTTCTTTTTGACTTGTTTGGAACTCAAAAATTTTGATAGATGAATTTCAACATTTCAGTGATGACCACCATTTCAATTGTGTGAGATTAATGACTCCCAAATGGTTCTTATCTCATTGTGCATGATTAATTTTGACTATGCTAATTCCAATCATTGTTTATTTCATCATTTTTTCACTCTGTTCTGAGTGTGCGATGTGCGGTATGCCACAGAATTAGAAAATATCCATCACTTTTCCTCTCTGCCTTCGACCAACGATTTCTATGATTTCTTGCCCTCTTGTCACTGTAGAGTAAAAGATTTTATTCATGCATGGTGCATACGTTTAAAAGATTTATCATATGATTTTTCTATTTTAGTACATGCACATAGAACTATTATATTAGATTGTTTTTTTTTTTTTTTTTTTTTTTTTTACTT